CACAGAACATTAAATGTATTAACACAGACTCTAAAATTGTTGAGGCAAGTTTAAAACATGAAAGTCGTTTCAACAGACAAGTAATACACACATATAACTTAGGTAAGTAGTGAATGAGAAATAAGAATCGAGACTGTATTCTTTAATGTATTCATACTAAGATTCAATATGACAATTATTTCCAAAACCTTCTTTAAAGCATCTAGTGTGTGATTAAATTGCATGACCTTTCATCTAATCTTCTTTTCTAGTTTCTCAAAAGTGTGACTGCCTTCCAAGGTTCGAAGGCACAAAAGTATCATGATTTGAAGAAAACATGGATATTCACTCTGAATTTTTCCATATCTTTCTTGCTAAGTTGTTGGTGATAGGAGCTGTTGAGTCAAGCTGAGTTTTCAGAATCCTAAGTTTCTAAAAGAATCTTTTGTAGAGAAAAGTCTCCCCTCTTAAAAGGACTTATTCCATAGTGTTTAAAGACCCCAAGAGCTTTGATAGCAAAAAAAGCTGATCATTTTATTCTAGCTCTGAATTTCCAAATTTAACTCACCATGGAATACTACTTTCTATAACACCTGTTAACATCTTCCAAAATCTCTTTTGGGAAAGTTTCTCTTCAAAAGTTCTTATCAGGCTACTGGACATAATATATTTCGATATGAGCTTGATAGGTCTGAGAATATATTATCACACCCATTTCTTCTTTCATAAAAGAAAGGAGTTGAGCTTTCTTTCTTCAAAAGTCTCTTCAAAATAATAATTAAAATTCTGTAACTCTAAAATACTTAAGAGTAGATTTGATAGCCATGCTTTTATTTAATTTTCAGGAAAATTAAATGAAAAGAGGCCATCCATCTAGTGCTTATCAAATTCCAATGCCTAGATAAACTATGTTAATCTATGATTATCCTAATTATATTATTATATGTACACATATTCCCTGAGTGAATTATCTGCTTAAGGATATTTTTTCATTGACCCTAATGGTTTCTTGGGTTTCTTTGCATGTGTCTAACAATACTATAAAGTTAAATTTAAATTATTTTTATATACAATTTATTCTCTTTTCCTTCCATTAGCATGGATAATCAAGAATTCATGGTATTAGGGCTTTTTAAATGTCAGAGATTATAAAGTTGTCTTGCCTGTTACAGTAAAAACTTTATTAAGGTCTATCATGTATTTTAAGAAGTGTATAATTTAAAGCAGCTGCCCATCCCAAACTCTCTCTCCAGATGTACTATTGTCCTTTAAACAAAAACATCAGATAATCCAAAGACTCTTTTATTTTAATGTAGTTTCTTGTTGCCAGGCATTACAATATGACAATGCCTTCATAAAGTTACTGTATCCCTTAGCATCAAACCTATCAAAAAAAATCATCTTTTCCCATAACCAATGGTTCCTAATGGTACAAGCATTCAGACCATAGTATTATCTTATCGTTTCTGAAAGCATGTATTCAACCAGGTACTTAATAAACATGTCACAATGACATTTACTAATTTATAAATGAAAGTAATTGTACACCTGTGGTTTTAGATTCCTTCAATGTTCTTTCCATTTACCTATGAAGTCTGTGATTTTTCAAAGGCAACACATATCTGTGGAAACAGTCTTTTTGTAGTTACATGTCCTAAGTTAAAATATTAAGTTTTCTTATTATAAGATACATATTTTACTAATTTTTCCCAGGGAGATGAATTTCATGATTTAAAACATGAAAATTAAATAACCATGGAATGGTGACAATATAATGATTATAACTCATCTATCTTAAAGGTTCAAAGCAGGAGATAATCTATACAAACTATTCTTCTTTTATTAAACAAAGACAAGGACAAATTCTTAAACAAAGATTAAAGTAAATGGTAATTTCATATACTTTCTTTTCCCTCCATGATGATGTGTTTTCCAAGTCTGAAATGTTACATCATCAATACTTTTTGTAAACTGTCTTTTACAAAGGGGAAGACAAAATCTATCTTTATGTGAGTCTGTACACATTTACCAAAAAATCCAAAACTTCTAAACTCTCCAAACTTACGGTTTTGGCACGCCAACTGAGCAGTGTTGAGGGAGGAGAAAAAGGGTTAGCAAAAAGTGTATTTAGGATGAATGCCACCCACCATCAAGTAATGGTTTAAGTAGAAAGTAATCAGAGGGAGACCACAGCAGCTAAATTTCAACCAAAGATATTCTAGGTTTAGAACAATAAATAATTTCAATCAGGTATGTTCCAAGGAGCAACTGGAGGCTGTAAGGCCATAGCTCAGGCCGGATGAGCACTCTGCAAGTCTGCTGGATCAGCAGCCACTCCAGATCTACAGCTCACCACTTAACCTGCCCTTTACAATCTTTAACATCTTGAGTACAGAGAAGGCCATATGTTGTGAAACTTAAACATTTTGGGCTGAAAAACATATCTAATTTATTAATGAAGACAGCTTCTTTCACCCACATCAGAACATATGTCATAAGGTGAGGAAGGGTGTTATGGAAATGCTGATATGGATGAAGCTGGAGAGACATACATGAAAGCCTCAGTACCTTCCTGGAGCCCTGCCTTATTAGAGCCAGAACTGCCTTATAATAAGGTCTTTTTAGAGTGTTAGTAACTAAACACTTTTGGAAGGTGTCCAACATGAACTACCTCTCCAGGAGTCACTACTGTGGTAACATGACACTTAAGCTTCCACAAAAACCAGTGTCTACATTTGATGAATAAGTCATTACGTCTTTGAAAAATACAGAAAAACAAAACAATGGGACTTTGGGGCATGTCTTACTATTTGCTTTCCTGTTTGCCAATTGGAATAGTCTCAAGGATGCTAAACCGACTGCTTTTCTTAACGGGACACACAGCTTTGCATATGCTTCAACCTGAACTGTATGAGTTTAAGGGGACTTCTGGCCTCCATATCAGGGTCTATCATTCAATGACATAAGCCTACAGTCAAGCTGATAAGGGACAGGGAAGTTAGAAAGTAGTAAATTAGGAAAAACCAATAGAATATGTTGCTGTTGTTGTATGTACCATCAAGTCTGAACCAACTCATAGTTAACCCTCTAGCAGATTTTCAGAGACAATAAATTAAATGGGCTGAGGATGTCCATCTTTCTCCCACAGAACAGCTGGTGGATTTGAACTCTGTGCCTTTGGATTGGTAACACAACTCCTTTCCACCAAACTATCAAAGTATGATACTGTACCTAATTATTCAAACTGTTATCAATCTCCCACTTTTGGTTCACTCAGCCCAAAACAAACATCAAAAATCTACACAAGTGAATGAAATGAGCTCAAACTCCCCCAATAACCACTTGATTCCCATTAAAAAGAAATTTGATGAAAAGTATACATATGTATGTGCATGTGTATGTGTATACCACACACATACACACATACTATTGTGTCTCTTAGGTAAGATACATGCACACACACACACACACACGTGTGCATTTAGTCTCTTCATTTGCCCAAGTTACTCCGGATGACTATTTTCTAAAAAGTCAATATGCAGGTAGGAATGATTTGGGAGTCTTTATTCTTGCCACCTGTCTTCCTCACACAAACACCTTCCACTCTTTGCTTCCACAGGGTTCCTTCATGGAGTTGTGCCCTAACAGACGCATTGATGTAAACAGAGCAGTCACTGGGATGGCCAGTTCTGAGAACAGCCTGGTCAAGGGGCTAAGATGCTGAGGATGATCCAAAGTACACTTCTCTTTCTTTCAAAAAGATTTAGCCCTCACAGACCTTAATCACAGTTTTAAGAAAGAAAAAAAAAAAAGAAAGAGAAAAAAATCTGGTTCAGCTCTGACTCTCACTACAGATTTCTGCATTAGAAACCATAATTCACATTTATTGTAAATGTCATCATGTCTATGAGCTTTAAAGAGTATTTACAGTGTCAGCCTAGAATTTTTCTTGATGGATGCTTTAGTTTTCCTTTTTTTTTTTTTCCAGAAGTGCTACATAGCAAAGCTTTGGGAGGTATTTTGTTAGCAATTTTGATAGAATTGATCATTACAAAGCAACACTTGGCCCCCTTACTGAAGATTCTTGGCTATGTTTCAACCTTTCACTGAAGACAGGTTTTGCAGTTACATTTCCCTTTATTATAAATGTAGTGAACTACAAAGAACTGTGCATCCTCAAAGTATATAAACAGAGCCTTGGCCAGGAAACTTTCCCTGGAGCTGTTAGCACAAGAGAGGGAGGCTGTTAGCATAAGTTATAAGCTTCACCACAGGGGCTAGCGGAAACCTTGTAAGCCATGAACTTCAGTCTGCAGTGATCTGTGTTGAAAAGCAGGATGAGCAGAATTTCATCAGCAGATTCTGAGAGATGTTTACATCCACCACAGCCATCCTTCTTCTAACTTTTCCCAAAGTGAATAGGGCAAGCCCTCTGCCTTGACGGGTGTTAAATTAAGAACACCCAAGCACCTGATTTTGTTTGTTTGCCACCGATGAGCCCTCAAGTAGTTAAAGAAATGTCATAAGGCAGAGGATTAAGAAGGGCTACAAGATCTTGAGAAAGGACTGTCTAAAAACCCGGGCAAGTGTGAGTTCCCTCACAGGTGGTCAAACAGTGGGCATAAAATGGCATCTGCCACTCGATAAATAAACATGGCTAAAAGCTCAGGCCACAGGAATTTCTACTGAGCGACTTAGAAACTGGCATAAGGCATTCCAGGGGTGTTAGAGACACCCTCCCTCAGGGCAACCGGGCTCCGCTGGGAATGGGGTGTCGCCCCTTCCCCTTGTCAAGCAGATATCCCAGCCAACTCAGCCCTTTGCCGCCACTTCGGACTCTACAACTGGGCTTGAGAGGGGCTCAGCTTCCCAAATGCGGGGCGTGGTGGGACAGGGAGCCTCCGGAGGGCAGCAGCGGAAAGTGGGGAAAGGGGTCTGGGCAGCACCAGGGGACCAGGGCCTTGGTTCCTGGTGGAAAGCTGGGGCTGCACCGCGGGAAAGAGACGCCCCCAGGCACTCACCTGCGGCTCCAGCACGATAGCTCCGAACTGTGTTGCCTTCGTGCAGGAGCTGGGGGCGCAGGGACCGGGCGTCGCGCTCGGGGGAGCCTGGCGTCCGCCCCGCCTCGGTCCTGCCACCGCGGCTGTACCTGTCATAGAGCCGCAGCATGTGCTCAGACACCTTGTCGCGCGGCTGCAGCTCCGGGCTGGGGCCACCACCTGCCGCGCCATCGCCCGCCACAGCCTGGCGGAGCTCCGGGAAATGCCGCTTGGGTTTCTCTCCCTGTGCGAGGCTCACGCAAAGGCAGCCCAGCCACAGGCAGAAGAGCCCGCGCGCCCCAGCCATGGCGAGGTCCCGGCGCGGCGCGACCGCCCTGGGCGGCGCTGGGGGAAGACTGGGAGAGAGCAGAGAAGCCGCGCTCCGCAAAGCCTAGGGTTGAACCCGGGACCAACTCGGGCAAGAGCGTCCAGAGCTCGCACAGGGCTGGAGACGGACAGCGACAAGTCCCACTCTTGGCGCCGAGCGAGCACCGACCGGCAGGTGGGCTTTTCTCCCGCTGCGCCGCGGACCTCCCCGGCGCGGGGCGCTGCAGGCGCTCTCTCCACTTGAGCGTTGGGCGAGCGAGCGAGCTGAGAGTCGCGGCGTGTGTGGCCCGGGTGTTTTCCAGAGCTGTCTCTACCTTCCCTCCCGGTTTTATTTTCGGGAACACCCGGCCGGAGCGGCCGCGCGCGGAGAACCAGGACTAGCACTGCGCCGGGCACGGTGCCGGAGTGGGGGTGCGCGCGGCGGCCCGGGAGGCGCTCGCTCTTCTTTTCCAGGGATTGGAGGAGCCGCGGCACCGCCAGGCAGAGTTTTGAGGGTGCGCGCGTGAGTGCGCGTGTGTCTGTGCGCGCGCGCGAGCGGGGAGCGGGCGGGGGAAGAGAAAGAGATTAAAGAGACTGAAAAACTGAGACTTCATTCTCGTTTTCTTACTGGTTTGTCCAGCGCGCTTGTCAGTCGCCAGTCTCCCCCTCTCCTCTACCTTCACGGGCAGCGCAGAGGAGAGAAGTTCAGGGAGAAATAATCAATGAATCACCGAGGGAAGAAAAGTAGAACAAGGGGTGATTGGGGAAAGAGGAGAATCAAGAAAGAAAGAAAAGAGGGGATTGTGTTGTTCTTTGGTTGCTTTTGATCCCTCCATCCCCCCGAAAGCCAGCTGTGCTAAGCAAGTGCACAGAGCACCTTTTTAGTTTCTTTCTCCTTTCATTGCCTTCCCCACCCCACTCCCCCGTATTCCATAAAATATACTCTTTCCTCCTGATTTTCCTGCCCAAAGCTGCTGACCTGATGATCCCTGCACCTGTCCTTCCCACCTCTTAAAAACTCTCAGAATTTGCCCTGTCTCTGGCCTAGTGGTAAGAAGCAGCGCTGCAACCTCAAAGGCACACAGTTTGAACCCACCAGCTTTTCCTCAAAGGAAGGCTGAACAGTCTCCTCCTGGGCCATTAACTGCTTCTGAAACCCACTGGAGGGTCAGCTATAGGTGGGTTCCAATTGGATGACACACTACAACAGGCAATAGGGAAGGAGCTGTGGTGGACCAGTGGGTAAGGGAGTCCCTCTGCCAATCAAAAAGTAGGCAATTCGAATCCACCACCTGCTGCCCTCAGAGAAAGATGAGCCTTCTCCCCTGGTGTCATGTATATTGTGACCTAGGACGCTGCCAACTCAGAGGCACCTGGTTCTGATTTACCGGCTAGCTGCTCCGGGGGAGAAAGACGGGCATTTTCCTCTCCTGTGATTTACAGTCTCTGAAAACCCTCTAGAGGATCATGGATGAGTCCCTTAGAACTTGATGGTACCTCACAAGAGCAACAACTAAAACCTGCTGGAGAGTCAGCTATGGGTAAGAATGTGGCAAGCTGTGTAGTTCTGTTTCGCTAGGTCCAGGAAAACCCTTAATCTCTCTCTGTCTTCTCTGGGGGCCCATGGGCCTTTACTGGTTCTCATAGAACCTTTTCTTTTTTCTTTCTTTAGACATGCACAATGACACGTTTATTGTGTTTGGATGAAATTAGAAAACATTTCTAGAGTGACTAACATACTTACTAATGTTCGTTATTGTTCTTGTGGGCCCTTGAGTTAGAACCAACTTAAAACTGTTCCTTCAGGTTTTCAGAGGCTGTAAATTGCATAGGTGGGCACCTTTTCCCTGAAGACTAGTGGTGGATTAGAACTTCGTATCTTTAGGTTGGCAGTGTAACTCGGTATCCACCAGATTAGCAGAGCTCCTCTAACTAACCTCTAGAGGAGGCTTATGGCCCTGTTCCCAAATGCATTCCAAACTTGGACTAATTCTCTATCCAAGTCACTTCTCAGGCCTCTGAGGTTTGGAGTTTGTCCTTGGCGATCCCTGGGACAGCTCTGCAGATGATAACATACTTCAAGGGTAGCTGTGAGAATTAAGGGAGATCATGTGTGGTGTGTGATCTTTGCTTGGCACAACGGCATAATAGCTTTTGTGATGAATAAAAGTCCTAATTGTAAAATCTGTGGGCTCTGGAAACTCCCTATCTGATTTTCTCTGGCAAATCTTTGGTTCTTTTGGCTCCATTCCTGCTCTTTCTGTTCCTTGAGCTGCTTCCTCTTTCTAGTCCTCCTTCTTTGTCCTTCCTCACTTGGTACTGAGCTTTGGGACACTTCCAAATTGTGAAGAAAAGATATTTCACTGCTGCAATGAGTGTGGTCATCTCTGACCTTTAAGTGTATAATCCTGGGTTTCTTCCCAGCTTCAGTCTTCATTCCCAAAATTCACTCATTTCCCTTTTAAATCTGTCCCTGAGACTCCCTGCCACTTAGTTCAAGTAAGTATTCTACTGCAACACTTGCCATTCTGTAGTCTATGTAATTCTTCATTTGTTATGGTGCAAATACTAGTTGTTCTTGCATATTTTAGAGTCTCAAGCGACCCATAGCTGACCCTCTGGTGGATTTTCAGAAGCATTAATCATGCCAGAAGAGGGTATATACCTTCTCTATGCCTCTGTACCCTCATTCAAGGTATAAATATTATCGTCCCTGCTATGCAGAATTGCCGTAAGGAATATTTGAACAGTCCATGTCAGGGGATTAGCATAATGTATTTGTTATTAGTATTAGACTATTATTAGTATTGGCCCCTGACTCCTGGTGACCACACGCAGTATGAAATGAAACATTACCCATTTCTGTGTCATTCCCACAGAAGATTGGACATTAGCTGATCTTTGAAATATATTACCATGATTTTCTTCATAGTCTGTCCTAGAGTGATGGAGGATCAGCTGAAATCTATTCAACATTCTTGCCGTGATGATTAGAAAAGAAAATGTTGTACAAGGAAATACTATACATTTACTTTTATTGTTGTTATATGTCATTCTGTAGTCATGACTCACAGTGATCCTATGAACAACAAATCTAAAACGTGCCCTATTATTTGCCATCCTCACCACCTTCCAATATGCTATATTCTAATAGGAGCCCATTGCTACAGTCACTGTGTCAATACTTGCTAGAGGTCTTCCTCTCTTTCTCTGATCCTCCACCTTATCTAATAGATTTAGGTGGCATGGTGACAAGAAGCTATGCTGCAATCCCAAAGGTATGTGTTTCAAATCCACCAGCTGCTCAAAGGGAGAAAGATGGACAATCTCCTCCTCGCCGCTTAAAGGCCTCAGAAAACCTGCCTCAGGGTCAGCTATGGGTCTGTTCTGACTCTATGGTATGCAACAACAATAACAGCAAGGAAAGGCATGGATTTAAGGAAGAATAAGAAAATCCTGATGAATCAGTGCACCAGCAGTCAAGGAGATCAGGAAATGTATTACGCTGGAAAAGTTTGCAATCAGGGACCTCCTCAAATTATTGAAGAGTAATGATATCAGTTTGAGGACTAAGGCACACCTGGTTCAGGTCACAGTCTTTTCAATAACTTGTTATGCCTCTGATAATTGGACAAAGAATAGGATGACATAAGAAGAATTAATGCCATTGAGTTGTGGTATTTGAAAGAGTTCTGAACATTCCATATACTGCCAAACAAGAACAAGCAGATACATCTTTGACAAAGTGCAGCCAGAGTCCTCTTTGGAGGCAAAGATGACAAAGCGTCATCTCCCATACTTTCAGCATGTCTCTAGAAGAGACTATTCCCTGGAGAGGGACACCATGCTTTGGGGATGGGGTGGAGTTTCAGCCGAAGAAAGCAAGATACTCAATGAGATTGAATGACACAGTGGCTTCAGCACTGGGTTCAAGTGCATCAGCGATGATGAGTGTGGTACAGATAGCAGAGTTCAGATCTGTTGTTCATAGGGTTATTATGGATGCTTGACTCAACTTGACAGCACCTAACAAGAAGAAAACCCTGCTGAAGGAATAAGCAGAGCCTGGCAGGAAAGCAAACATGTGCCCTGCACAACAAAAGCTCACAGGTTTTCTACAGTTGTTTCTAGGGGTGTTTTACAGGAGTGAAAATATGGTCCCAGCTTCAGAGAGCAGAGAAGGGGAAGCTAGTGGACACTGGACTCCAGGGGCCTTGTGCAGCTTTGATCAGAGGCTGTAACCTTCCTTCCTCATTTGTATGTGCACACAGCTTCAGGATAAAATTAGGTGCAAGAGAGTCGTGATGGCAGGACTCCTTATAGGAGGTTGGCTTATGCATTGGTCCCTCTGGCCTCTGGCTTGGATTCCACTCTTTCTTTTGAATCACCATCTTAAATCATTGCTTGGTCAACTAACTCTCTGCTGTGTTTCATCCTTGGACATACTTGTTTCAGTCCTGTTTCTGTCCTAAGCAACAACTTAATTCTATATTGACATTAGGTGTTAAGACAATATGCCTTAGATACTAACATCATTCCCTCTTAATGTCAGGCCTTTTGCTGTTTCAGATAACTTTATGTTTTAACAAATGCTTAGCAAGTTTTATGTTAGTGAGTGTACATATGTTACAATGCTAGATTATGTGGATATATGTAAGCAAGTTTCTTTGATTTTTCTTTCTTGTTTTCCTTATTTCTTAAGTCACACTGGAAAACGTGGGCTCAGTGAGAGAAATGAGGCTGGAGATAGAATGATATAGAGTTCTGCACATTCAATGATTTATTTACTGCAAATACCTTTTATTAGAAACTTAAACGCAGGCTATACACATGGATTTCACCTGATGGTATGCATAGGAATCAAACTGATTACATTTGTGGAAAGACTCGCTGGAGAAGTTCAATATCAGCAGTGAAAACCAGGCCAAGTGCTGATAGTGGGACAGACCACCAACTACTCATATGCAAATTCAAGCTGAAGTTGAAGAAAATTAAATCAAG